TAGGCTTTATTTGCTGTTCTTTCCAGCTCCTTTAGGTACAAGGTTAGGTTGTATATTTGAGACTTATCCTGTTTCTTGAGGAAGGCCTGTATTGTTATATACTTTCCTCTCAGGAACGCCTTAGGAGCACCTGCATCCCAAAGCTTTTGGACTGTTGTGTTTTCATTTTCATTTGCTTCCATGTATTTAATTGTTCTTTGATTTCCTGACTGACCCATTCATTCTTTAGTAGGATGTTCTTTAACCTCCATGTATTTGTGGTCCTTCCAGTTTTTTCTTGTGGTTGACTTCAAGTTTTATAGCATTGTGGTCTGAAAATATGCATGGTATGATCTCAGTCTTTTTGTACCGGTTGAGACCTGATTTGTGGCCAAGTATGTGATCTTTTCTGGAGAATGTTCCATGTGTACTCAAGAAGAATGTGTATTCTGCTGCTTTAGGATGAAATGCTTTGAATGTATCTGTTAAGTCCATCTGGTCCAGTGTGTCATTCAGAGTCCTTTCCTTGATATTTAGATGATCTGTCCATTGCTGTAAGTGGGGTGTTAAAGTCCCCTATTATTATTGTATTATTATCAATGAGTTTCTTTAATTTGGTTATTAATTGGTTTATATATTTGGCTGCTCCCAAGTTAGGGGCATAAATATTTACAATTGGTAGATATTCTTGTTGGATAGATGCTTTTATTATGATACAGTGTCCTCCTTCATCTCTTATTACAGTCTTTGGTTTAAAATCTAGTTTATCTAAGGATGGCTACTCCAGCTTTCTTTTGATGTCCATTAGCATGATAAATGGTTCTCTACCCCTTCACTTTCAATCTGCAAGTGTCTGGATCTAAAATGAGTCTCTTGTAAGCAGCATATGGATGGGTCTTGTTTTTTAATCCATTCTGATACCCTATGTCTTTTGATTACAGCACTTAGTCCATTTACTTTCAAAGTAATTATTGAAAGATATGAATTTAGTGCCATTGTATTACTTGTAAAGTTGCTGTTCCTATAGATTGTCTCTGTTCCTTTCTGGTCTTTGTTACTTTTGGGCTTTCTCACTGCTCAAAGGATCCCTTTTAATATTTCTTGCAGGGCTGGTTTAGTGTTAATAAATTCCTTCAGTTTTTGTTTGTCCTGGAAACTATCTTTCCCTCTATCCTGAATGACAGACCTGCTCGATAAAGTATTCTTGGCTGCATTATTTTCTCATTTAGCATGCTGAATATATCATGCCAGTCCTTTCTGGCCTGCCAGGTCTCTGTGGACACATCTGCTGCCAGCCTTATGTGTCTACCCTTGTAGGTTAAGAACCTCTTGTCCTGAACTGCTTTCAGGATTTTCTCTTTATCTTTGAAATTTGCAAGCTTCACTATAATATGTCGAGCCTGTGACTTTTTTTTATTTTGAGGGCAGTTCTCTGCGCCTTCTGGACTTGAATATCTGTTTCTGTCCCCAGATTAGAGGTGTTCTCAGCTGTAATTTGTTCATATAAGCCTTCTGCCCCTTTCTCCTACTCCTCATCTTATGGGACCCCTATAATATGGAGATCCATATATATGTATATATACACACACATATATATATGGATATATATATATGGATATATATCTCAGGGATCTTGAGAGGATGCTGTTACCCCTGGAATTCTGCCCTGCTTCACCACCTGAGCACCTTTAAGCTAGGGACATCCCCCACTGCAGCAAACTTCTAAAAGTTCTGATTTTGCACTCCTCTGCTTATAATACTTTGCAGTATCCTTAAGCAGGTTCCCTCCCTCCTCCATATTCTCAGCTATATAACCCTGGATTTAAGTCTCTGTACCTCCTACCTTCCAAACAGTGGTGGCTTTTCTACTTGTAGACTTGCAGCTTTTCTCTTCTCAGATCTCCAATTGATTTCTTAGATATTCAGAATGATTTGATAACTACCTAGCTGTATTCAAGGGATGAGATGAACTGAGGGTCCCCCTACTCCTCCTCTGAGAGAAGGAATTTTAAGCAGCTTCACTCCCAGGGCAGAGCCTGTCACGGGGATTGATCTCACAACCCTGAGATAATGACTTGAGCTAAAATCAAGAGTCTGACGTTTAACCAACTGAGCCACCCAGGTGCCCCAACATGAATGTATTTTAGGATTAGGAAATCAATTACAGGGTTTCTCATATCATGAATACTTTGATAAAACATTTTTATCACTAAAAGTCACAAAATTTATTAAAGATTTTAAAGATATGCCATCAAAAATATTTCAAACTACAACCAAACATAACAGTATTCTTAACCCTAAGAACAGGACAAGGATTTCTAGAGAAATGGTATACAAATTGATGATTTAAAAAAAACCCAGGTTTTTGCTTGGATTCTGCTTCAAATTAGAAATTTTATCTTAGGAAATCACCTAATTTCAGCCTGTGACAAAGTAACAGATTTCTAAGGAACATTTTTGCATTAAGAAACATCATACAGAGAATTTATAGTAATGAAAACTCTACCAGTTAGTTGCTTGGGAGGAAAGCAAGCACATTAGCTTTACTTTTTTAACTGATGAAACTGTTTAAAACAAGTTTACTTCAGTCTGTCTAGGAGAGAAATAATACTGCCCACAGAAAAAATATAGGTAAGAAAAGAATTAATACCTTTATTTTATCCAGTAATGGAGTATACAGTGTATCCAACTATCTTATAGGAGCTCATTTTAAAGGAAGGGATTATTAGTTTTCAATCCTTTATGTTAACCATTTCATAGATAGTCTTTATGAATATATAGGAAAGCATTTTAATGTAAATATTACAGTAAAAATGAAAACAGTAGTTTTGCAAATTCATGTCTCTGGCACAAATATCAAATAAAATTATAACCAAGGTTTCTTGGAGAAGTGGCTGATTCTATAGCTGAGGTTGGGAAAGTACAAGATGAGAGAGGAACATAGTTTATGCAAAAAAGCTACAGAGACAATATAAGAAAAAAAATTATGGTAATGGATTATAACAAAAAAATAAAGACCAATGAAACCATCATGATATTAAAAAAGAGGGGAAAACTCTTCTTTACTGAAAAATGACAGCTAATAAATGTATAAAAATGATAGAATATAATCATTTGTAATCACTCCTTATAATATTTATCTCAGGCAAGGATTATCAATGGATGCTAAGACCACTGGATGAAGTTTTTGGTAGAAAGTATACCTGTACTGTCTTCGAGTATTTCCTCCAATTATTTATAAATTATACAAATGGAAAGTTCTGGTCTTACCACCTTAACCATGTGGTCAAGCTTAGCTTCAACCAATGCACAAGCTTATATTTTAGCTTCCTGATGTGATCAAGTGGGAGATACACATATCACTCTGCCAGAAATGACCTAAATCTAATCAAGAAGAAATGGTCACATGAATCCAGATGTGGAATATTCTGGATTGTACAAAGGATTCTTTGTCAGACACAGAGGAAGGCTGAGGACTAGGTTAAATTGAGGGAGACTACACAGACATAGCAGTCAAATGCAATGATACATAAATTTGGATTGGATCCTGGATTTAAAAAACCAAAAAGCTAATAAGGATATTTTAGGGAAATTTGAGTGTACATTAAAATAATGATTTTTTTTTTTTAAGGTATGGTAATAGTGGTGTGGTTGTATAGTAAAATGTCCTCAGGGGAAAAACATGCCAAAATATTTAGGAGTGAAGTGTCACAATGCCTGCAGTCAATGTCCAAATGTTTGGCAAAAGAGTGTGTGTATGTATAGAAAGAGATGGAATGGATGTGGTAAGACATTAAGAATTATCTGGGTAAGGGGAAAAGAAGTGTTCACTGTACAGCTTTTAACCTTTTTATGGGTTTGAAAATTTCTAAAAACAAAACAATACAAAATTAATGGGAAACAATTTCTCACAGTGAGTGAGAAGAGAGCTCTAGAATCAACAGACTTGTATTTACATCTAGTTTTGCTACTTCCTAGAGGGAGAACCCTAAAGCAAGTTACTTGTTTCAGTTTTTTTAATCTTTAAAATGGGTTTTTCTTTTTTTTCCTCCACAATTCACTTTACACTTTCAAACTTCACCACAACACTTATGAATTGATTCATATCCATACAGAAGAAAAGGCAAATAGATGTTATGTCTTGTCTTTTTATATGAAAGTAAACTTACATTTCCCAGTTTTAATTTGCATAAGCCTCACAATTCAAACCAAGAAACAATTCATTAGTTTAACACAAAAATATCAGATTTAGTCTTGATAACAGAATTGAAAATAACAACACATTCACATATTGTACAAGTGCCAGCATGATATGATCAAAACAATGCTGGGCTCAGTACAGCAGGAGAAGGTATGAGTCTAAATTTTGGCTTTAACTGGGTGGCTCAGTCAGTTAAGTGTCTGCCTTCGGCTCAGGTCAGAGTCCCGGGATCGAGCCCCAGATCGGGCTCCCTGCTCAGTGGGGAGTCTGCTTCTCCCTCTCCCTCTGCCCCTCCCCCTGCTCCTTCTCTCTCTCTCTCCCTCACTCTCTCTCAAATAAATAAATAAAATCTTAAAAAAAAATAAATTCTGGCTTTAATTCGTATATAACTTTGAGTGAGTCAACAACCTCTCATGGTTTCAGTTTCTTTACCAATAAAAAAAAGAAGTCAAACCAGATTTCTCCAGTCCTAGGCTCCTCTAAGATTCTGCAAGCAAACAGTAGGTTTTCTTCTCTTACTTCTTATGCATTCTATTTTCTTTTTGAGGCTTCTTTTTAATTTTACACTTCAGGTGTATTAATCTTCACGATATTCTTAGCCTAAACCCCTCTCCTCCTCTCTAACTTCCTCTGTCCCCACCTCAGCCCCACTCTAGCTCAAATGGTAGGGGTATCCTGAGATGACTTTTATTTGAAATTTAGCACAATTGGTTTAGTTAGCTGATAGTTAATTAGCTAGGTCCATTAGGCAAAAGCTTAGGTAGTATTTATTCTTGGGTTGTGAAATTCTGTAAACTTTTGAAGTTTAAAGATTCCTTACTTCCTTCCTGGTTCTTATGGCAGCATCTTGCACAAGCCGAGAGACTGTTTCTTTCATTTTCTCTATATTTTCTTCTTTTTGCTTCTCTTCAAGTAGAGCCTTCAGAAAAATAATCACATAATCATTTCATGTTATTATAAATCACATCATTATTAATAAAGATAACATAGTAAATGATTAAAAACCTCTCCACTGATCACTTTGTTGAAAGCAAACATCTTATTCTAAACTTCTGGGACAGTATCGTGGTTTTAAATATCATTTATATGCTGACAACTCCCAAATTTACATCTCTAGACCAAATATCTTTATGAACAGGGTGTTAATACACAACTAATAAATTACTGAACACTACATCTGGAACTAATGATGTACTACACTATATGTTGGCTAATTGAATTTAAATAAAAAAATTAAAAAAACCAAAAATATCTTTCTGAGCCTGAAACTGCTCCAATTTTAGGCCTGATTGAATCTCTCTTTTTTTATCATTACATAATAAATGGCCTTGTGTTCTGATCCCACTAGCTTCCAAAGATACCATACACATTCCCATCTGTATTTTTTAAATTGCTTAACAAATTTCTTCCTGCTTAAATAGGTAAGCTAGTGAGAATTAACAGCTATTTTTTATTCAAATAGAATTAACAGGGTGTTATATTAATTTCAGGTGTACAATATAATGATTCAGCAGTTTTTTTTTAAATTCTTTTTTATTTCTTTATTTTTAAGTAGGCTCCATGCCCAATGTGGGGCTTGAAGTCATGACCCTGAGATCAAGAGTTGCATGCTCTACGACTGAGCCATCCAGGCACCCATGATTCAATAGTTCTATACATTACTCAGTGCTCATCATAAGTGTACTCTTTTTTATTTTTTTAAAGATTTTTATTTATTTATTTGACAGAGACGGAGAGAGACACAGCGAGAGGGAACACAAGCAGGGGGAGTGGGAGAGGGAGAAGCAGGCTTCCCGCGGAGCAAGGAGCCTGATGCGGGACTTGATCCCAGGACTCTGGGATCATTACCTGAGCTGAATGCAGACGCTTAACTGACTGACCCACCCAGGTGTCCCGATAAGTGCACTCTTAATCCCCTTCACCTATTTCACCCATCTCCCCACTCACCTGCCCTCCCTCAACCACCAGTTTGTTCTCCATATTTAAGAGTCTGTCTCTTTTTGTTCATTTGTTTTGTTTCTTAAATTCCACATGAGTAAAATCATATGGTATTTGTCTTTCTCTGACTTATTTCACTTAGTATTAGACCCTCTAGGTCCAACCATGTTGTTACAAATGGCAAGATTTCATTCTTTTTATGACAGAGTAATGTTCCATTGTATATATACACCACATCTTTATCCATTCATATATGGATGGGAACTGGGTTGCTTCCATATCCTGGCTATTGTAAATTATACAGTAACAGCTGTTTTGATGTAACAACTTTGTGGGAGAGTGGGACAATGAAGAAATAGGGAAACATCATAAAAGAACAATAATAGGCTGTGTTTCATGTCTGTTTGTATGATCACTGGAGAGAATCCTTGACTTTCTGGAACAAGCAACTAAAGGTGGGACTTCTGTAACAATTAAACAGTGGGTCAGGAGGGAGCTTAATACTGTAGCCATAAACGGGCTCTTTAAGGGTCTGTTGACTTCGGACCTGAGTAGATTTAAGGGATAGGCAATGAATATCACTACTTCTCTGTCCATTGTGCTTTACACAAAATGTTCATCTTTAGTGACCTGATATTAACAATGCTCATATGACTAGGCTTCAGAGGGGAAAGATAAACAATTTTGTCTTGCTCTGAACTGTTTTAGCTAACTTAGAGTTTAGAGCAATTTCCAAGTATGTCTATGTTGTGCCTTTCAACCATTCTAAGAGACAGTATTCAAATCACAGATGAAATTATTAGCTGAAAGGCATGACAAGCACCTTTGCATTCTCACAGTTTACATTTGAATATTATTTCCTTCTTACTTATTAGCTTCTTAATATGTGACTTATATAGCTTGTTTCATTTTTAACAGCCCTCTTGAAAAACCCTCTACTATGTAAAAAAGGAAACATAAATAAAGCAAAGTATTTCCTTTGTATTCCCCATATTTCCCAGTAATTATGCTTATGTTAGGTATTTAATAAATGTTGGTTAAATGAAGTAATGATTTAATGATCTCTAAATAAAGGAGGCAAGAACATTAAAAACAAATCTATCCACTTGGTGACCTCTATGAACTATATACCATTTATATGGAAGTGATAAAAGAAAAAAACTATAATATGTGATAGCATAGGAATCACAATTGTTAGAGGGTTAAAAAAAGAACAGTGACATGAAGGTTCTAGTTAGTAAATCTTTACAGCTAAATTTAATTCCTATCAATTAAGCTTCTGCTCTATTAGAGTAATTATGTAGGTGATGAAGGGGAAATAAAGATGAGTAAAATTAATCTGATTTAACTGAATAAAATATAGGGTATACTGCATTAAAGTGCTATAGCAGATTTTTTAAAGTATGAGACTATAGAGGATGAGTATTATTTACATCAGGATTGGAGACATAAGATCTGATATGAAAGCTTTGGGAAAAGGTTTGACATTTTATCGTATTTTGTTTTATTTTATTGTTTTTTTAGTTATCTCTACACCCAACGTGGGGCTTAAACTCATGACCTAGAGATCAAGAGTCGCATGCTCTTCCAACTGAGTCATCCAGGTGCCCCCATTTTATCATGTTTTATGATTAAGTCTTACCATGAAGAATATGTCTGTTAATGGAGAGCATAGCAGTTTCATTTTCATGTGTTCATTCTGTAATTATTGACTCCCTTATTAGGTCATATATATTATTTGTAAACATGTTTACTAGTTTTCTTACCTGATTTTTTTGAAGGTTAGCTTCTTCTAAGAGCTGCATGCTATTTCTGGCTCTTACAATAGCTTCATATTTTTCATTTTCTAATTCATTGCACTTTGCTTGTAACTCTCTGGTCTGTTTTTCCAAATGTGTTTTTTGTGCTCTTAATTGGGTGGCTTCTTGGATTGCTACACAGAGTCTAAAAGTAAATAATTACATTGCAAAAGTCAAATATTTTTAAAGGGAAGAAGGAAAATAGTAGATTTACTGAGCATCTATAATAGAACAAACACTATTCCGGTTACTTTCACGTGTATTTTCTCATTTGATCTGCACCGAAGTTTTATAAAGTAGGTTTCATTATTTCCATTTTAAAGAACAAGAGACCCAAAGAGGTGAAGCATTTGATTAAGGCCATATGGCTAATGAGCTGTGGGGCTGAGACTGAGCCTAGATATTCTGACTCTAATTATGTTACACTTTCTACAGTATCACAGCATATTATATAGTTACATGACAATGTTTTAAAGCAATTCCTTAAAGAATGAGTTATTCTTTCTATTTATATGGTCTTTTAAAATTTTTCCTTTTTTGCTTGGCATCCTTTACCCACTCTCTACCCCGGTAACCCATGTTGATTTACTAATGTGTATCGTTGAATATTTTTCTCCATGTTCATAAAACCGTATACACATATATACACAAGTAATACACAGATATACATATAAAGTATATACACATTGGTCCATAGGTTTTTAAACATAATTTGTGTTATAAAAATGCAAATTATAATATACACCCTTCTCTGCACTTGCTTTTCTCATTCCGTATCTTAGAGAAATCCTCTCAAGCAATACATCCAAAAGCTCTTTCTTTTCCTAGTCTGATGGATGGAACTTCATCTCACTGTTAATTTGTATTTCCCTGATTACTGGAGGGTTTAAGCATATTTTTAGTTTGTTAGCCATGTGAACTGTCCATTTTGAATTTCCTCTTCATATCCTCTGCCAGTTTTTTTCTGATGGGTTATTTGCTTGTCCTTTTATATGAACTCTTTGAATGTTAAGATATAAACCTTCAAGCTGTTCTGTATGCTACAAATATTTTTCCCAAATCTACTTTTTTTGTTGTTGCCTACTGACTCTATTTAGGAATTCTTTACTACACTAAAACGTTCACTTTAATAACAGCTAAATTTGATTTTTTTTTCAGCTTGTAGGATTTCATTTTTTATAAAGACTATTTCCCTCTTCCATAGATTGTTAATGTAATTTCCTAGATTTCCTCAAAAGACTGCTATGCCTTTAATATTTTTACTGGTAAATCTTAAGTGCATCTGGTGTTTACTTCTCTTTTTTTTTAAGATTTTTATTTATTTGAGAGAGACAGAGAGACAGAGATAGCGAGAGAGAGAGAATAAGCAGGGAGGAGAGGGAGAAGCAGATTCCCACTGAGCAGGGAGCCCAATGTGGGACTCGATCCCAGGACCCTGGGATCATGACCTGAGCCGAAGGCAGACACTTAACCGGCTGAGCCACCCAGGCACCCCTGGAGTTTACTTCTGAATGTGTTATAAGAGAGAAGTCCAATTTAACTTCCAGACTGATGGTCAGTTGTAGGAATACCATTAGTAACTGATAAATTGAAATAATCCCCTTAACATACTTAAAATATGCAAATATAATGATTTACTTATGGATTATCATGTTTCATTGATCTGTCTATTCTATACCCAAATCAGATCAATATGGCTTTATAATAGGTTCTGATACATTCTGGTAAGACAACTCTTCTCTTACATTTCATACTTTTCTTTGTTATTTTCAGGCGTTTCTTTTTTCTAAGTGATGGCAGGAGAAGCATTCTCTATCCTCTTCCCACGCCCGCTACCCACACTAAAGAACCGGGAGGAAACTTCCCTGCTATAGCACACCTCAGACTCTCCCAGTTTTGGGAAATGAGAGAACTCAGCCTACCTTTTAGATCTCTATCTTTAAACATTTTTGTTGTTGCTGTTTGGTATATCTGCTTCATTTTGAATGGAGTTAAGGTCTACCACCATTTTAGTCAGGGTTCTTAGTTGCCAGTAGTAGAAGCCAACTCTAATTTAAGCAGAAAAAGGGTTTATTAAAAAGGATATTGGTAAGTTCACAGACTTATTGGGAGAGCTGGAAAATCAAGTTTAAATCTTTGTAGCAAGGGACATGCTCAAAACTTCACCATAGAATTAGCTGATTCTCTCATGAAGAGCTATACTCTGGGGAATTCCAGATTCAGATGGCCCAAAATAATGACCATAACTATATTTTTATCAAAACCACCCTTTCATCAAATTCCCTAGCTTTTGCATCACATATTTAGCTATCCTATTATTTGCTGTACTTAGGTATATTAATGTATCTTTTTCAAAACGGTGTCATTTTTCAATACATAAGGTCCCTCTTTATTCTGTTTACTGCTTTTTACCATGAAACCAGACCTTGTGTAATATTAAGACTGTCACTCCTCCTTTCTTTTTAAGTTACTAATGTGCTCCACTAAAACCTTTATTTTAAATTTAAAACTAATTCTCTTCATCTTCCCTTCCTTGAGAGCTATGTTCTAGTTCATTTATTCTTTGTTTTAGGTGTTTTCTAATATATTACTGGGCCTTACTTTTTTTTTTTTAGATTTATTCATTTATTTTTAGAGAGAGAAAGAGAGACAGAGAGCAAGGGGGGAAGGGCAGAGGGAGAGAGAGAATCTCAAGCAGATTCCCCACTGAATGCAGAGCCTGACTCGGGGCTCAGTCTCATCACCCATGAGATCATGACCTGAGCCAAAATATATGACATTATTCATTCTATTTTACTGTAGTTAAAGCATTCGTGGAAGAAAATGAAGCAGCCCCAACCACTCTCAAAGAGGCATAGGACATATAGCACTTTACTAGTATTAGTTCACTGTTTGTTTCACCTTCAGGCCCAGGCAGAGCAGGTGACTCATGAAGGGCATGCACCAACTTCATCTCTCAAGAACAAGCTTTGTTTAGGACTGGGTGAATTCCAACCCTGAGTCAAGGCTCCTTGACACTCTTATCCAGGCTTCACACCCAGTCATGTCAGAAAAAGCCTTGCAACTAAAAATTTCACATGCATTCAACAGTCTAGCAGCCCCAGCAACCACTTGGCTCTGAAAAGTCAGACTGGTTTTAGAAGTGGAGTGGAGTTACAGTAAAGCAGATTCAGATCATCAGCTTCATAATTTATAGGTTTCCATAATTTTATAACATAAAAGACATATTACTACTATTCTTATTCTCATAAAGGCATTTCTACATGCTCTTATAAGCCAAATCTTATAAGAATCCTGTCAACTTGCTAAAATTGGGTCAAGTTCCCTCTTTGTAATAATGGTAACAAAAAGGATAACAGCAAAAACTTATAATAACATTCTTTGTGCTAGGTACTTTATATGAAAGAAAACATAATCCTCAATATCTTCAACAATGCTGTGAGATAGGTTTTATCATTAACCTATGAGGTAGGATATAAGCTTATATTATAGAAGATATAAGACAGGTTATAGCATTACATTTATTTCATAGATGGAGAAAGAGTAGTACAGAAAGGGTAAGCAACATGCCCAAGGTTATTTATCTAGTTACTGGTGAAGTTACAGTTTGAACTCAGTCTGGGTCCAGAGTCCATGTTCCTAATAAATATACTATACTGCCAAACACAAACTTCCACTTAAATGATACAGATTCAGCCCACAGATCTATGTACCTATAACTACACAGCAAGGGGCTGTCATTTCAAGTAAAGTTGGGGGTAAGAAGGCATACTAAAACCCAGGGTATTGAATAAAGTCTGAATATTGAACATCATTACTCTCAGACTCTTTCTTCAACTTTGGAATACACTCAGGCTAGCGCATTTTTACTCCCAGGCCACAGCAGAAGACTGATGAATCCTACCCTGGGGAAACTGGCCCAGGAAAGATTCTGATATATGGGAACTGCTCGAGGAAAAAGCCAGCTTACTGCCTAAACATAATACAGTAAAGTCTGCCAGATCACAACCCACCTATGCACACTTAGCCTCTTATCTGCTTTTTGGTGTCTTTTTTTTTAACTGAAATATATTTGACATGTAACATTATATTAGTTTCAAGTGTACAACATAATGATTTGGTATTTGTATACAATGTAAAATGGTCACCACAATAAATCTAGTTAATATACATCACCACATATAGCTATTTTTTTCTTATGATAAGTGTTTAAGATCTATTCTCTTAGCAACTTTCAAATATACAGTACAGTATTATTAACTATAGTCACCATTTTATACATTACATCCTATCACGTATGTCTTTTATAACTGGAAATTCATAACTTTTGATCACCTTCACCCATCTCATCCCCCTCCCCCCAACCCAACCACCAGTCTGTTCTCTACCTACAAGTTTGGTTTTTAAAGATATGGAATGATTCATGAATTTGTCTGTGGGCCATGCTAATTTTCTCTGTATTCCAATTTTTAGTATATGTGCTGCTAAAGCAAGTACTTTGTTATCTTATTTTTAAATATCAATGGATAGAAAGGATCACCAAGCACCAAGAAAGACAGAAGGGCACATAGGAAGTAAAGGAATGTTGAGAGAGCAGAGACAATAATAACAGAAGAAAACCTTATAAAATAATATTTAATATACTGAACTAAGATATAACATCTGTTAAATAAGAATAAGCTACTACAGAAAAAGAAACAGAATAAGAAATGGCTCTTTAAAATAAAATTAAGATAGCTAAAATAAAATATTCAATAGATGGTTAATGAGAAGAAAATTTAAGAAAACCTCCAAGAAAGGAGAAAATAAATGAAGGAATGAAAAACAAGAGAGAAAAGAAAGGAAAATTAGGGAATCGATCTGTAAGGTCCAATATTTAACTAATATTAAGTTCAAGCAAAATGAACAGAGAAAAAATGAAGAAAACTATCAAATGACAAAATCTATAAAAAAATTCCTTGAACTGAAGGACATGAATTTCTAGACTGAAATTTCCCTGGTAAGATGAATGAAAAAGGATTCTCACTGCATGTACACACTGTGCAATTTTAGAACACTGATTGTGGTGGTGGTGGGTGGATGATCCTAAAAGTCTCCAGAGGGAAAAGAGGAATCACATATAAAAAATTGTAATTTTGAATGACATAAGAATTTTTTCCTATAGCTAGAGGCTAGACAATTTAAGGAAAATATCAACATTCTAAGGAAAAAGGATTTAAAACCTTGGATTTCCAACCTATGATTCATTACTCAACAAAACTATCAAACACCTTTGAAAGTAGGATAAAGATATTTCTAAATAAGCAAATCTTAAAAAATGCATCCCATGCATGGAGGACATTAGGAGAAGGAAGGGAAAAATGAAGGGAGGGGGGGAATCAGAGTGGGAGAAGAACCATGAGAGACTATGGACTCCAAGAAACAAACTGAAGGTTTTAGAGAGGAGGGGGTTGGGGGGATGGGTTAGCCTGGTGATAGGTATTAAGGAGGGCGCGAATTCCATGGAGCACTGGGTGTTACACGCAAACAATGAATCATGGAACACTACATCAAAAACTAATGATGAAAAAAAAACTAATGATGTATTGTATGGTGACTAACATAACATAATGAAATAAAATTAAATTAAAAAAAATGTGTCCCATGTATCCTCAGAAAGCTGAGGAAGAATTAAAATGAGAGGGTCAACAAAGAAAGCAGCAGCCATGGGGATGCAAAAGACACAGGCTCCAATACAGAATGGCAAGAAGGAAATCCCAGGACCACAGTGAATTAAAATTTTAAAATGAGAGCTCTCATCAGTCCTAGTGAACGGTCTGAGGCAGGGGATGGAGAACACCAATGGATTTCTTCAAGAAAAGGATGTAATTACAATGACCTCATGTGGTTGACCATATTGAGAGGCATTTTAGAGCTTTGATAGAGTACTTAGCTATGAATTAGTATGAAGTACACAGAAAACTTGCTATGTGAAGAAATGAGATAATTAACAAGAAACCATTGTTCATTATAATGTTTGTGGTACTATATGATTTTGAAACAATGCTTATATATTTTTCCTTTGATAAAAATAAAAGTAACAATGAATAAAGCCAATTTATCCAATTTATAACTAACATACAAAACCTTTCTTACAGAACTGATACAATAATTAATTTTATTTGGTCAATAGCAATATTCAAAAATATTCAGATTAATTTGCAAATATTTCATAATAAATCAAGGAGTTATAACTATGGAAAAGATTTAAGACTTTTATTCTTTGTAACAATGAAGACTGTTATTCTTTGTGACAGTTTATTATAGACTTTTTTTCTACCTTGTTCTATTTCGTTAAGACCATTAAAACAATTAAAATACAAAACCGTTTTTTACCACTGGGAATAATTATCATTTATTATTATAAGTAGACTCGTTTTAAAATAATAAACTTGGTGCCGGGTCCCCTACATATTCTTCTCTCATTTAATCCTAACGAAACTGCAGCTAAGTGAGGTTGGTTAACTTCTCTAATATATAAAGACAGAATGTACTAGAACCAGAAATCAAAGCAATTCTGCCTCTAAATCTCAAAATCTTTTTACTCCAACAATTTATAGTCCTGTCCCCAGATAGCCTTACTTTGAGAATATCATCAAATTAATCTTCATAAAATATTAATTTCATCATGCAGTCTTGGATAAAGAATTTGTAATACATCACATGAAATCCAAATTTGACTAATTTTATTTCCAAGGTCCTCCATATTTTATCCAACCATATTCACCAATTTCCAACGCATGGCCTTCCAAAAGACCATATTTCAACATCTTTAAATTTTTTTTTTTTTTTAAGATTTTGTTTATTTATTTGACACAGAGGGAGACACAGTGAGAGAGGGAACACAAGCAGGGGGAGCGGGAGAAGGAGAAGCAGGCTTCCCGCCGAGCAGGGAGCCCGATGCGGGGCTCGATCCCAGGACCCTGGGATCATGACGTGAGCCGAAGGCAGACGCTTAACGACTGAGCCACTCAGGCGCCCCTTTCAACATCTTTAATCCTATCCAATCCTATCCAATCATCTTTAATGAAAGAATTTATGTATTCTATTATGCTTAGGAGTACGGCAGCAAACAAAAAGCTGAACAATGATTAGAATGAAATTCACTATTTACCAGTCACCTAAATGAAGATTTCTTAGTCCTATTTGTATATTATTTTAAAAGAAACACCAAATTTAAAAGTATGAAGAGGTAGTTTAAACCAATTCCACTCATTTAACTTCTGCCTTATTTAGCTGAGCATATACAAACCAGCAAAATCTTTCCCAGAAAGAACTGTCATTCTCTGGAGGCAATTCCCAGGATCCACGAATCATCTAAAAAGGGGGAGAGGAGGGACCCTTTCTTTGGAAGACAGAAGGAAATAACTTATGCTTCTTAGGTGTTTATGACATTTGAGAGGATCACAAATAATAATTTTAAAAATAATAATAATAATTTTAATAATGGCAAAAAAAGCATTTATTGAGGCCAAAATGTCTCTGATTTTGTGGAACAGAGATGACCATTAAAAACAAAACTTTTCTTTTCTTTTTTTTTTTTAAAGATTTTATTTATTTATTTGACAGGGAGAGACACAGCGAGAGGGAACACAAGCAGGGGGAGTGGGAGAGGGAGAAGCAGGCTTCCTGCTGAGCAGGGAGCCCGATGCCCGGCTCGATCCCAGGACCCTGGGACCATGACCTGAGCCGAAGGCAGACGCTTAACGACTGAGCCACCCAGGCGCCACCAAAAACAAAACTTTTCTAACTGGCAGTTCCATTAAATAGGATACATTTACACCTAAAACAGATTGGCTGAGTGGTGCTTAGAAACACACGTCAGGTACACTAGTAACTCTGCTTTCTCTTTTATATAAGTACAAGAGATTTTTTAAGCTTTAAAGTATAAAAACTTTTTTTTTTATCATAACAGTAACAATATTAGTTTAATATCTCTAAAAGGCAGTCAATGTAAAAATTTCCTTTTCAGAGGTGGCTAGCTGCATATTGGACTTTAAAAAATATCCTTAGATTTTCTTATACATGCACTGATCTCTTCTTAGAGAGCTATTTGGTTAGGCTGTATTATAGCTTCATACTAAAAGCAAAAAAATTTAAAACAACAATAACAAAAATCCGCAAACTCTCAACACTAAAAAGACAAAGCATTGTTAATGAAAAAAACAACTTGATTCTTTATGATTCAGTATTATTAGAATCAAAAGGAATTAAAATTCACTATTCAAGAGTTTACTGTTTTAAGTCTCTAGCATTTATTTTCATAGCATAGAATATCTACTAAGATAATAGAAATGAAAATCTACAACCACAGACTTTTTCTCTAAGGTTAACACAAAGAAGTTCAGGAAAGCAGTAGTACAATCAAATCAATCAATAAACTGCTGAAAAGTTTAGAAAAGTGCAAAGCAAAACCCAAAAACCCTAGCACTTAAAAATTACAACTCTTTTCATCAAAGTCTCAAGTTAGTAGTTAAAATCAATTAGTTCTCAACTGCCATGAGGAAAGAAATTATTTTTATTAATACTCTGAAGAACAGGAAACAAAAGGTCAAACATACTAATTTTTTTTCTCAACAAACAATAAATTAGCTTTGGATCTATGACTAGAACTGAGATCTCAATTTTTAATGTGCTCAGATCAGCAGACTATTTCTGAGTGTAAAAGATTCCAATCATACAGAGTAGATTTTTCGGCTATTAATCATAAAGTGAATTTATGGGCTATGGTCACTGTTATCTTTAATAGGTTACAAATGACAATTTTCAAGTCTTTTAAGGGAACATTCAACAAGGACTAGGAAACAACAAAAACAACAAAAGATTTTTATAGTGCACATTTACATTAAGATAGCGATTAAAGACAACCTACAGAATATATTTAAAGAGTAGTCCAGACCTTCAAAGATTATTGAAAATTACTGCTCCAGAAGACTCCAGAGAAAACACTTACAATGATTTCTTGAGTACTTTTTCTCTTGTGTACCTACTTAGTAAGATAGTTTTTCTGTTTAATTTTTACCCAATTTTGTTTTTCTGCTTTAAGATGGAAAGAACATTTTTGATTTGGGGATTGACTAAACTTGACTATGACTGCTTTGGGGAAAAGGAAGAGAAAAATGATCTTTGAATATACATTCAAAATATATCAATGTTTTAAACATGATTTTTAAAATAAATAATGTCCAGTAAATCAGATTTAAAACCTAGGATTATAGTTAGTTTAGCAGTTATAAAATACATATTCTAGAAAATATCATAAACTGAAACTCCAATGTGGAAAACATTTTGAAGCTTATAGAGAAAGCTAGATGTATTTAACAATTTACCTTGTTTCTAATTGTTTTATACTAGATTGTAACTGCTGTAAACGCCTATCTGATGCTTCCTCTCTTCCTTGGGCAGACAACATTTCCTCCTCCTAGAAAATAAAGAAACTGGAAGCTTGAGTATGTGAAAATACAGTACATCATTATACAACATAAAGAAAAGAATTCACTCTATAAAGTTATTACACTTCTAGAATTTAATATCTAAGTTTAAAGAAGGGATACCAATACAGCATTATCGAATCAACTCCTTAAAAATTGATCTAGATGTCTCAGAGCTGCCCATGAAATCTGTTTCACTAAAAAAAATTCTGTAGCATAGTATTTACGGTATGACTCTTTTACATTAAAAAAATTTAAACATATATGCATATATATATATACACACACAGAAAAAACATCTTTAAGCTATAAACAATCTGTTAACATTGATTATTTCCTAGGGACAGACCTGCAAGGTAATCTTGCCTTACCTCTATTATATATTTTGTATATATGTTGTGCTCTTCTTTATATTTTTCAATATTATTTGAATTTTTAGGAATAGCATGCACTACTTTTATAACTAGAAAAGTAATAAAATTGAAAATAAACAAGCAATAACAGTTTGGAAATAAATCATGTACATACTAAAAAAAGGGGAAGAAAACCTCACTATCGATTTTGTATTAGAAAAACAATAATAAAAAGTCATTGCATATAAATTTCTACCAATATTTCAAACTATTTCTATAGTGCAAATCTAACAAAACAAAGCAGGGATTTGTATGTAAATAATCTGCCTTTAGAATATGCTCTTTTAAAACTTGGTTATACAGCATACCATTACAATCATAGGATATTTCTTCTCTGACCTAGCAATGCTTTGAAATAAACAGGTTTGATTTGTACCACCTTTAGAAAAAATCCTGTTTATCCTTTCTTGCCTACTGTTGTGTTATTTTTTACATACCATTTTAATTCTATTGACTTTTAGCTATATCTCTGAATTAATTTTTAGTAGTTGCTCTAGAAATTATAGTATGTATCTTTAACTCATCCCAATTTATTCAGAGTTAATATCTAGTTCAGAAAAAACATGGGAACCTTGCAACAATGTATTTATCTCCATGTACCATCCTAGTCTTGAGTGCATTGTTCTATTACATCTGCGACTTTATAAATCCATCACATAGGTAGAGGTCATTGAACTCTACCTCTGAAACTGATAATACATGGTATGTTAATTAATTGAATTTAAATTAAAAAAAAGAAAAATAAATAAATCCATCACATACACTGCTCAATCCTCCTTTAAAGCAGTCATATATTTTAAGGTATTAATGAGAAAAAAATGTACAAAAATATTTCATATTTACAACGGTTGTTCCTCTTAATTTCTTCCTATATCTGAGTCACCATCTGGTGTCCTTTCCTTTTAGCCTAAAGAATTTCTTTTGTCATTCTTTGGATAACAGCTCTGCTAGTGACAAACTCTCAGTGTCATTTATCTGAAAATTTCTTTATTTTACCTTCATTTTTGAAGTACAGTTTCACTGGACATAGAATTCTTAGTGAGCATTTTTTTCCCTTCAGCACTTCAAATATATTATTCCAATGTTTTTTGCTTCCACGTTTCTTGTAAGAAGTCAGCCATTACTCTTACCACTGTTCCTCCGTTCATGCCATTTTCCTGTTGCTGCATTCAAGTTTTCACTTTATAACTGGTGGTCAGTATTGTAATGATGTGTAGAAGTAATTTTCTTTGTGTTTATCCTACCTGTTTTCCACCAAATATTGGAAGTTTCCAGCCATTATTTCTTTAAACATCTTTTCTGTCCCCATCTCTTCTGCAATTCCAATTACATTCCTGTTGGCTTGCTTCGTATTTTCCCCCAGATCTCTGAGGTCTTGTTTATTTTTCTTCCACCTTTTATTTTATTTTATTTTTATTTATTTATTA